TTCTTTCTTTCTTTCTTTCTTTCTTTCTTTCTTTCTTTCTTTCTTTCTTTCTTTCTTTCTTTCTTTCTTTCTTTCTTTCTTTCTTTCTTTCTTTCTTTCTTTCGTATACTGCCCCATTAGTGGGAAAGCATTACTCTGGGTGGTTTACAATTAACTAAAACAATAAATGAAAACAAAAACAACAAAACAACAATCAACACATCAAGTAGCAGAAATATAAAATGAGATATGGCACAAGCCTATAACCATATAGAGCAGCAAGGAACAGGTCATGGAGGACTGCCAAGAAAGGCCTCTCTGTAAAGCAGTGTTTTCCATGCTCTTTTGAAGGAGAGGAGGGAAGGGACCAGGTGCAGCTGCAACGGCACTTGATTCCATAGTGTTGGAGCCACTGCAAAGAAGACCCTACTTCTAATATAGGATTTCTTGGCCTCCCTTGGAGGATCATAGCCTGGCAGTACCTGGTGGGTGACCTTAGGAAAAACCGTTCCTACAGATATTGTGGTCCCAAACCACTTTCCAAAGCATACATGGCTTTCAGTTAAAAGGAGGGGCATGCTAATGCAACAAGATTCAAATTTGGAATTTGGATTAAGAACTACAGCCCTCCAGATCTGGGATTTGAAATTTTAAAAATGTGGAATTTGGAGAGTCAAAATATACAGTCAATATAAATACTAAAAAGTCATTACTTTCCCCTTTTTAAAAAAGGCAAAATATTTTTAAAGGATTTCCGTGTATCCTCTGACACATTCCCAGTGACTTTCTTTACTACCCACTGCTGCATATCATGGAACGTAGACTAGCATTGCCCTCCCTCTACTGCAGCTTAATATCTACTGCCTACTGATTAATTTGTGCATGAAAGAGGGTTGCTAGAATGTACTCCTCCTTCCAGAATAAGGTAGACCTATAGTGGAGCATGTCTTTCAGCTTTCACTTACCACATCAGGCCAGAAAAAAGTTCTATTCTCCTATGGAATCACTCATCTAACTAGACCAATGGCTCCCAATTTTGGAACCACAGATGTTGTTTGACTCCAGTTCCTAGAAGCCCTTTGCCAACAAAGCTAGTGGTGAAGGCTTCTGGGAATAGCAGTCCAAGAACGTCTGCAAACCCAATGTTGGGAACCACTCACCTATTGTCTCCTTTTATGCTCTTCATCATGCCAACCAAGCCCTGGAACCCTGGGATCACTTGGCTAAGGATGGCTGTCTACCCAGCTAAGGGCCTATGTTACATTCTAAGTTTCAAAGGACATAGACAACTTGATCCATAATGCTTGACTCTTTTCTGCCCAGAGGAGAAGCTTCATCAATGAAAGTCTCCAGTGCCAAATCACGGAGTGCCCTTTCCTGTTCCAGCACTCTTTCAAGCAGGGAGAAAGTTGAGTTCCATAAAGTTGCCACCTCCTGGATTAGGTAGTGTAGTGGCAATCTCAATTTTTGTTGCTTCTGCTGTGACAACATACTGCTGCAGACACTGAAAGTCTCCCCTAAGTGACAAGTGATTCTGGCATTTTTATGTTTGCAGAAGGCCTTTTCCTGCAATCCTCCAAGCTTCTCCAGGGTAGCCTGGAACTTATTCTGGAGATGTGGGTTGCTGCTCCCCACTCCTTGCTATTTGCCCATTTGCCTCCCTTTTCCCCTGAGCTGGTGGCTCAACCTTTACCCTCTGATGACTCTTACCCTTCACAATGAGAAAGCCACTTGCCCCCACAAAACCCGCTTCATTTGCCTGCAACAATCAATGCCCTGTGCTGAGTCTTCAGACAGGTGAGCAGACTACTATTGGAGAGATAGACAAAATCCTGCCCACACTTGAGCTGTGCATGCATTCAGCCATGCAGCCATCTGTTTCACACTATTGAAAATGCCTCCAGATTATTGACTTCTTGCAAGCTCCAGTTTTTGACTGCATGGTCCTAGCAGGGATTTCTAATCACTACTAGTTCCAGCAATTGGTGGGTCAAGTGCAGCAGGTGGGGCAGGTGTGATTTCAGAGTCACATGCTTCTAAAATAGTGCCTACCTGAGTTCCTTCAGTCTCTCCCTCCCCCACCATGACATGTGTATATACTTGAAGGGGAGTTCTCACCAACTATAATGTTGCTTTGTACAGGAGAGATTTGCTGGGAAGGGGGGGTGGGCATAAACTCTGCCTTGAATATGATGAAACTGCATGGTATGGATATGGAAGGCAATATCTGGTGCTCTTCATAAATCTCTTTCCCAAGTGCAAAAGCAGCAACTCTGCTGTTTCCCAAGCTGACAGTGAGAGCTGATGCTGTCCTTCTCTGGCACATTGGCTCTTTGTGAGAAAAGTGCCCTTTTCACCATCTTTTTTGGCCCATTGCCTTGGCTGGATTGCACAAAGACATTACAGGAACAAGTCTGAGTTTCACACGTATCTGCCCTACCTTACACCAGACGTTTCTCTGCCACCTCTTTGGCAGAAACACACACAAAGACACACACACATAGTGTCGTCTGCTGTTCTTTCATAATATCAGCTGAACAAGGCAGAGGGGTGACAGATTTTGTTTGGGGAGGCTCATAATAGCAGTTATAGGCTATCTTTTTCCTTTCTCTGTCCCTCTCCCTTCAGTTGAAGCTGCTGCAGTGGGTGCTGGCAGCATTCCTGCAGCCTTTCCGAAGTGCCTACTTCTTCTACCACTCCCTTGTTTCATACTGCCTGCAGACTCTTCCCAAAGAAGAACAGTATCAGATTCTGCTACAGCAGAACACAAACAATAGGACTCCAAATATTAGGAACTATTACTACAGATATTTGGAACTATAAATTTGGACTTGAATATATTTGGAATTATCCAAATATGGCATTAATCTGTGTAGTCTATATATTTCCGAATCCTAATGCACATCCGTAGTTTTTAAAAGTGAAAAAAAGATTGTTTTAATGCCTTTCCCAATGGCATATTTGTGGCAGAGAAGTCTGGGAAAGCTGCACAATGGATTTTGTTTCAAAAGAAATGCAATATTTCACTTGTTACTCATGAGTAATGAAAAATGAATTGTGTTTTTCATTTTAAAAGTAACCTGAATTTAGAAACACATTATGATTTTTAATCACTTCAACTGGCTGCCATTTGAATCCTCTTTTCATCTTTCTTTTTTCTTTTTCAAAGCCTGCTAATCTAACAGTGGCAGTCAGCCAATTAAACTAGAAAAAAAGAGGGGAGGAAGTTTTACGGCAGCTCTGCTCTAACTGTGCCTCTTATAAATCTGGAAAGCCAGAGCAGAGCTACCTGAAGAAGCTGGAAACAAGGCTGAAGAGAAAATGTCCTCTTGTCTCTTTGCCAATTCCTTATTGATGTTTTTCTCCTTGATCACCTGGATGGTCTAGCACTAGAACAGCAAGCCTTTAAGAGTAAAAAAGAAAGAAAGAAATGGAACAGGAAGGGAAGAGGGTACAAGCAGACCCAGACACCAGGTGTGGGGAGGACAATGTCATACAAGTTTATATAGGAATATTATTTGGAGTCATTTTTATGAAGTGAATCATTAAACTATGTTAATGCATTAAACTGCAATAGTGTCACATTGCTAATTACTCACCAGTCAGGTCATTGTGTGTATAAATGGAGGTTGAATCTATAAAGCCTGTGGCACCATGTATAGATACAGCCCAAATAGTTATAAAATACAGTAGTTCATATTGTTGAAAACTTTTAGGCATGCTTCTGTATCTTAATTTGAGCTTAGTAAGGCATCCTTTGTACTCACCAAGAGTCACATTTTTGTCATAAATTGCACAATTCTATGTTTTATTGTGGCTCAGCTGCTGCCCTATTAGGAAAAGACAGAGAAAAAAACCCCACTGCTCTACCACCAGGTCTACCTGTAGGAGAAAATCAAAAAGTCCGAGTTTGGCCCATTCTGAATGGAGGATAGTCAAACAAGGAGCTTTCCCAAGAGGTGTTCCATAATCTTCCATGCCACACCGTTGCTTCAATAACTCCTGATACTGTTGCCATCCTAGAGCAAAGGAGTTCTGGTCATTATTTGAATCATTCAGATGTTGAATATCAGGTGCCCACCACACAATGGGCCGAATGGCACCATTGGTGTATTTGTAGGGTAGCAGGTGGCTGCTGAATTTCCTAGCCACCACAGGTAGACTACGATACAGCCCCAGCACCCTATCCAAATGGAAAGCCAGAACCTCATAGAGATCAGTGGGCCTTTTGATTAAACCACACAGCCCCTCCAAGCAGAGGCTTTCGGAGTCATAGGAATGGACACCCTGCTTGGAGGAAAGAGCAACTCTGAGTATCTGCCCATGAGCAGGGATTCTGTCCTTATCTACCACTGCACTGTTGGCCAGAAACTTCATCTTCTGTATATCATCCAGAGTAAACCATGGAGGGTTCTCCTCACCAAACTTCTGTCGACCGTCCAGTTTTCCAGGATTGCCACTGTCTTTCAGCTCTCTGCACCATCCTGAGTTCTGCAGCCCCTCTGCATTCCTGGCCCCCAAGTGAGTTCTCTGTGGATCCTGAGAATGAAGGTTCTCCTTCTGTCTCCAAGTGCCTGTTCTCCTCCAGAAGGACTGCTTGTCCACCATAATAGCTTTGATTGAGGCTTGGCGTTCTATGCCCGCTACCTGCAGATCTGGTTTACGTTGCTCTTGTGGCACAGTAAGCTGGTTTGTAAAAGTGTTTCGAAGAAATAAAAGAGTGTCAAGCTTCCTATCTTGTAAAAGAGGAGAAAAGGGGACCTTGTGCCTCTGTGGTTTCCCATCTACCCCTCTCTCAGGTGGGTGCCAGGAAAGGCTCAGGACTTTCCCAGTATTCTTTTGAGTAAAAGCATGAAATCTCTTTTTCTTTTTGTAATTAATCCTGGAAGGATAGTCTTTGTGCTGGAATCTTCCACTGCGTTCAACACTTCCTCGTGCAATGTTGAGTTTTCTCATCTCTCCATTGGACTTTCTCCTACCTTGTAAGTCCCTGAGATGCTGCTCACCTGGGCTACTTTGCTTGATCTCTTGCCTGCAGGCAGGACCAGGGCTTGGGGTGACTTGACTCTTCTGAGGGTTGATACTTCTTCTGTAGTTGACATGCCATGCCTGCCGGGCAATGGAATTTGTCCAGATATGCTGAAAATGGACAGTTTTCCCATGTGAATCATCCCTTGGCAGAAAATGGAAACTGGACTCCATGCTTTCACTCAGGGATGCTGGAGAGAAGCTAGTGAGAGCGATGGCAGATAAGGTGAGCAAGAGGCAGCATCCAGCTAGAGGGGATCTGTTCAGTCTCATTCTATGCCATGTTCTCTGGGCCTGGGGAACCAGAAAAAGGAGATTTCGTTTACCAGAGATGCCATTCACATACAGAAACAAGAAATAAATGCTACGAATCCCTTGTACGTCAGCATAAGCTGAACTGGATAATATGAATCTGCTCCACTTCAAGTAGTAGGGAACAAGAATGCCTCTTTCCATCTGGCAAGTTTATCCTACTAGTGACACCACAAATCTCTGTAGACATAATATTTGAAGATAGGTGTGTGTGAAGTCCATTCAAGGCCTAACTCATATGACAATCCAGTGATGCTACAGGTGACATAGCTACATCATGTGGGCAGAGAGGAAAGTTATACTTTCACTCCCCATCAACCATAACTTATTCCAGTCCTATGACTGTAGCGTTCAGCCCTGCCCTCACCTGTCCGTCACAGCTGAGCAGTGGAAAAGGAGCCAATGAGTGAACAGAAGGTGGTGCTAAAGGGGGAGGGGCTGGGATATAAAGGGGTGTGTGTATGGAGTATGAGAGTGAGTTTTTGTGTGAGATGTGAGTCTGAGAGTCAGTGAGCCAGGAAGTCAGTGAGAGTAGGGTTCTGTGTGTCAGTGAGTTCAGTGAGTGAGAGAGATTGATTAGTACAAAGGATGTCTTACAAACAGTAATACCTGGTGGCATCAACTAAGGAAGAAGAGTGAGCACCTCCTGGAGGCCTGAGATAGAGGCTTCAGCACGCTCGCTACATAAACTGGTGTCCAGCGTGTGGGATACGCACTTGATCCAGTAATGCCTTGGAGTAGAAAGGTGCCCAGAGCAGGAAAAGATCTTTAGTCAGGGAATCTGAGTGGAAGAGTGGGTCACTTCCTAGGGCTTTTTCAAGGGGAAAAGGCCTAGTGGGAAGGCTCTGAAACTCAGATTGGGGGGCTAAGATAGGGACAGGCTCCGTGGAAACCATTTCTGGAATGAGTTTACCCCAAGCAGAATCTGTGACCTGTTGGCTAGTTTGTCCTGAGCTCAAAGGATAGAGTTCTGAGGGGACAAAGTGAAGACCAAGGGCAGATAAGCTGAGGGGGCTCAAGTCAGCTAAAACTGGGAAAGGTTGAAGCTGTTATTTAGGGTTATTTGGTGCCTGAGGCAGGGAGAGAAACTCT